CAATATCCTCCGCTTCATCCGCATGCTAGGTTACAACCGTGACCTACGCAATGCCTCTGATTTTAAGAGGCAATTCCTCCCCTCAATGTGGAATATGTTCTTTTCCATATTGAACAGAGCCCTGACCTGCAAATTGGGATCGATGGATCAGGGCAACATCAACATAATGACTATCATGTACGACTTCTTTTTCAACCTACCGCTGGACTACACTGTCCTCATCTACAACAAAATCCATGCACCGGTAATCAAAAAGTGCAAGCTTAAGTCCGTAGGAAAGCCACTGTCGTCCGTGCTCTTCTCACGATTCCTTACTCTCTTCATAAAGGATGCAATGAGAAGACACGAACTACCGGCCGATGAACCATTCACCCCACAGTTCATAATGCATGGTCATCCCCCAACAATCTCCAAGGATGGCTACAGCACCGAGAGGACAGTCTCTCGCGCCATGCTCAGCGTCATACCAGAGACGTCTGAGATAAGGTAGACCTATTAATGCTCTCTACTGTCCCAAGAACCGAGGGCAGCTACCCCAGAGCACTTAGAGCCGACCCCAGACACCAACGAGGGAGCACAGGAGTCGTCTTCATCGGATGATGAAGATGATGATGATGACTCTCTTCGTGCATCCCCCAGCCCTTCACATACAATACCCATCCCCACTACCCAAAGGGCAACCACCACCACTACCCCTGGCGATCAAGGACAAAGGGGTATTGAACAAGGACGACCCAGTCCAATCCCACACCCAGCCAGCCATCCAGAGGCCATTCTTTGGGCCTCTAGAGATGATACAGCCGAGGAACCCCACCATCCATCGTCCCCCTCCCAACAGAGGGGCGATGAAGAAATAAGAGGCCCTTCGCCTCATGGCTTGCCACTACCCTTCACACACCCAGAAGCATGTGTTGCTTCTGGCATTGCTGATCCACAAGATCGTTTAGAGCAATCTTATGTTCGTGCATAATATCCCCCTTCGATACTTGATCTAACAAAAGGGAAACACATCTACTTCTCTTACCCGGCCTCTGAAGCCGAGGAAGAAGAAGAAGTTGTAGCAACATCACGAGATAGCTCCTCACTCGAGCGCTATCAAGGACATGATGGAAGTCCTTCACGACCCATATTTTCACAAGGCCATGAAGGCGCCTTCGGAGCTGAGGCTCAACCTGCATCATCCGTTGCTGCAGGGGCTACCCATGTGGCTGATCTGGTCACAAAGGCTGAGTTCCAAGCCTTTGTAGACACGATCCAGGGGTCCTTAGAAGACCTACAACTCGTCATACAAGGAATTGTCGACAACCCTCCATCCATTGACCTCACCCCCTTCGACAGTCCCTTGAAACCCTTGAAACACAAACCCGAGACAACACAACCTGTCTCCAAATGCTACAACAGACAGTCACCCAACACCACAACACCTCCTCTTCCCTTGCCACCCACAGAAACCAACTTCTCATTCATTCCATTGCCACCCTCACGGCCCAGGAAACTACGACCAATGAGACTTTAGCCTTTATCACTACCCAACTGAACACCATCTCCCAAACCATAAACACCCTCCCAGCCAACATCACATCTCTCAAATCCCACAACCGACCCCACCCCCAACTTCATCCATCAATGAAACATTAGCCTCTCTTTCTACCTAAATGACCACCATCCAAAACACCCTCTCCTCCCTCCCAGCCACCATACTAGCCAACATACCCCAACCTCCTCCTTTTCCTCCTCAACCCCCTCTGCAGGCCCATCCTTCGATGAAGCCTTCTCCTCCTTCATTGCAGAGGTGAGGAATATCATTGCCAACCTACCTATTCCTCCATCAACATCCACCTCCATGCCCCCTCCTGCATCAACATCTACCATGGAGTTCGCCACCAGGGCCGACCTAAGGGCCCTGTCGAAGGCACTTATCTTATCCTTCAATGAGATAAGTGCAAAATTCATTCATCGTGCTGCACAACCAACCAAGGCTCTCTCCCAGAGCCTTGTCGATCAACAAGCACACACCAACTCTCTCCTTCACTCAATGGAGGAGAGTCAAAGACAACAAGCCCTGAAGGCGTATCTTGCATCCTTCAGGAAGGAGAAAAAGAAAAAAAGGTGCAGAGCTTCATGCTCCAGCAACCGCCCGCACAATAGGCCACGACATGAGGATCCAGACCCCGATGATCAAGGTCTTGGACCTCATGAGGGGGAGAACCAGGCCGCAACTACTCAACACATAGAATCCGCTGCACCATCACCACCACCCCAAACACAAGAACAATCACCACCCACAACCGAAGGCACCAAAGCGAGGGAACCAGAGGCTCAACCCTCTAAAGAGGTGTAGAATGTACATGTTCCCATCGCCACATCACAAGAACACATCGAGTTGAGCTCATCGACCGATGAAAAACCATCCACACCACCAACCAACCTACCCTTCACCCCATCACCAACTCCAAACTTACCATTAACCCCCTCACCAACACCATGCACCACACAACCCTTCACCACTCTACCCATACAACCTCAACCCACAATCACCCAACCTTCATCACCACCACAACCACCAACTCAACCCGATTAACTAGAAACCACCCAAATACAACCTCTTGAACCATAAGTCACCCCATCTCATTCCAATGAACCAAAGCCAACCCAAACACTTCCATCACCTACCCCATCTCAACCATTAACCCAAACACAAACCCAAGTGCAAGAGGATATTCCTTTGTCTTCAAGGCACCCTCCTCAAGGGGTAGTCGATGAAATTATAACAAACATAGAGTCACTCAGGAGACGTCCAGAGATGCCACCGATGGAGCCAGTCATGATGGAGAATATCCATCAATACCTGTACCATGATCGCGATGAAGGCCTGACACTTAATCCTCCAATTCTTTCACCATAATCCATGAACCTCCTACACCATAGGTTTGTGAGACAGACCACCCAACCACCAAGGGTTGTTTTCTCAAACGATGGAATATGGTTGGTCATGGACATCAAAATGAGGACCTTCACCAACCGAGCCATTAAGTACATCGAGTACACAGTAGAGCGAGCCCATGGTCAGGTCAGCATCTTTAGTGATAATGACTTGATCAATCTCAATCCCTATGACTTGATCGAGCTATACGCGTAAACGACTCAGCGACAGGATTAGGGCATACAATTTAGGATGGCGAACAGAGCGATCGTGCAGACAATGGAAACGCTGGTGAAACATCAAGCTAAGAGTGATTTTGAGATTGCTCTTCAGCTTGGCATCGACAGACTATCCTACACTCCACCTGATGAAGACTTCTCTGGCCTGCAGGAGAAGAGATCTGCCTCTGTTCTTACTCAACCAGAACTGGGTCTGATATACAAAAATGAGTTTGGAGCGAAGAAATTCTTTAGGTTGACTGAGGCCTTTAAGTATTCAAATGAAACACTTAAATGGTTTCTGAAAGCCATCAGAGACAGATTGGGCAGATCTCACGTGCCAACAGACGATGGACAGAGATTGATACATGAAATATCTACAGTCATCGATTACAGAGGACTACTTATGCATTTTTGGGAAATATCACAGGGGAGACCCTAAATGTAGTCTTCTATTTTTGTCTTGTAATTTTCATTTCACCAATGTAAGAATTCATCATTTTTTCCAATGAAAAATTTGGCAAAAGATGTTTTTCTTTAGAATAGCCTTTGTTCTTCATTTATACTTTGAATGTTCTTAGAATAGATGATGTTTGCTCTTTCATTACTTAGGGGAGATTGTTAGACCCCATAAATATTATGCATAAAGTAATTAAGACAAACAAGTGATGAAGAACCAGAAGGCTGATGGAAGACTTCATGGAAAAATGACTAAGTCTGAAGAACATCCAAAGGGTCGATGAACTGACCAGAGATGCGATGGAAAGTGCATATCCATAACCCCTCTGGATACTAACACTTGGAGTTTCCTTCAGCAGTTCAACCAGAGGCAAGCAATAAAGATATGAAGATAAGGTTGAACTAATATCCCATGGAAGACAGCTGGAGATAACCATTCAACAGCTGGATTCTACAAAGTTTATCTTGTTTTAATGTTTATCCTTATTATAGATAAGCTTTATCTATTAGTAGATGATTAGCTAAATAGTCTCAGTAGATAGTTATCTTCTTATTAGCTTACTAGTATAAATAGGTGGTTAGGCCTATTGTAATTGACGACGCTTTATGTTTTTACTTTATTATTGAATAAAGTGAAATCTTTGACACTCAAGATTATTCTTTGAATGTTCATACATTGTTCTTGAGTGTTCATCATTTTGTTCATTAAAACACTATAATTTGGTTATTCTTAACTTGATTATTAGTGTTATTGAGAGATCTGGGATCAACACCTTCTAATGCGTTTTGTTGCATAGGTATGTGTGGTTGTGAGGATTGTCCACTTTGATAATTTTGAGAAGCACCTTGATGAAATCCTGCGGGATTTGGTGGCCGGTTTTGGACTTGGGTTGTCCCGGGGGGTTGAAGCCCGTGATTTCCGGCACAGAAAAAATAGGGATGATTTCTCCAATTTGAAATGTATGTTGGGAGAACAGGCTATATCTAGCATGACTCCCAACATAGTTCACCGAGGCAGGGTTACCGAGATAACTTTCATAAGAATAACTTTCACCACAAAAAACATATGCTTCATTTATGGAAGGATTTGTCATAATGGCTTGTACTTAATTTTTTCTACATTTAAATTTAAATTGTTTGTAACCAAGTTAGTTAAAGCCACAATTTGTGCATTTAAATCGGTGATGGTATCAATCTTATGAATCCCCGATGCAGTTTTTAGGAACAATGGCACAAGGGTTCGGCCAATTATTGTTATTATTAGTGACTTTCACCATACAATATCATATCCTTTGTTATAAGTTTTAGAAGTGAAACCGCCACCGCCGGTAGCATCGAGGATAATTTTAGCGGCATTAGAAAGTCCATTGTAAAATGACTCTAATTGGATGCAGTGAGGGATTCCATGATGAGGACATTTCTGAATAAGATTCTTGATTCTCTCCCATGCATCCGAAATTGCTTCATCCCGTTCTTGACGAAACATCAAAGTTTCATTTCTAAACTTCACATTTCTTGTCCGAGGAAAGTATTTCTTTTAGAAATTCTTCAGCCAAATCTGTCTAATTATCAATTGATTTTGGTGGCTGAGTATTTATCCATGCTCTAACTCTATCTTTTAATGTATAAATGAAGGGTGTCAACCTTAAGACTTCTTCAGTGACTTTACGAAAATGATCCGTTATTTCTAAAATAATTTTAAGTGAGAGTGTGGATCTTCAGAAAGTAATCATCCAAATTGGCCCATTGCTTAGATCATTTGGAACATTACCGGCTTTGGTCCAAAATATGTTGCAGTCATGTTGGGCCTACGAATTCCCGAATCCAATTTACCTAATTCTGGTGTTGCATAGTCCCGTATTCCCTTATCTTTGTCATCGACAATTTTAGCCGTGGTCTCCGGTGGTGGTGGAGGGTTTTCTCCACCATTAACGGCCATAATTTGACTTAAAGCTGGGGTTTGACAACTATTTCTACCTCTTCTTCTTCTTCTATTTAAAGTTCTTTTAATTTCTAGATCGAGAGGTAAAAGTTCCCCGTGTTGTAGACGTGGCATACAACATGGAAGTTGCTTTGAAAATGAAACAAATGACCAAGGCTCAAATGAAAGTCAATATCTCAAGATAAAAATCACACTAATCCTCGGCAGCCATGCCTAAAACTTGGTAGCATAAATTGTTCGTGTTCACATAGTGGGCACAAAGGCAGTAAGTGCACGCTGATACTATGATCATTTGCAAGTAATAGAGTGGTAAACTATCGAGATCGTTTCCATAGGGATTGAACTACTAAGAGTCAGAGAATTTCATGAACTTCTTGAGCAGTTTTAGCTTGTGACCAAAATATGAGTTTTTTTTGTGAAAATCTTAAAAGATGGAATATACTTGGAAATAAAAGATGAGTATGGGTGTAAATATTCCTTAAGACGCAAACAACAATATAATGGTCAGGAACTCTGTCTATAGACAATGCCCACAAAGTTCTCGCTTTCACCACTCCGAAGCTTGCTGGTTTAGCTAAGTAGATAAAAAAACTAAGTTCTATTACACTGAAAATTCATACTCAAATCTCTTTCTAATATAAATCATTAATTACTATGTGAACCTTAGCTAAATACATACAAAATTCGTATCTCAATACAATTATCAAATACTTGTGCATCCCTTAAGCCGTATTTCGAACTTGTCCATCTCTGGATCAAATATCTAATATTAACATTTCAAAGTGAACGACTAATCCACATTGATTTTAGTCTCGGCTTAAGTGATCGAGTTTATGAAGTGATGAAAATGAAAACATCCACATGTTGCTAATAAGTCTTAAGTTAACTCACATCCACACCCACACCCACACCCGTAGAGATGATTAGCTCATACTTGACATCGAAAGCATAATAAAAGAAAGGGAATAAGACTTAAACAACACTTTCATTAAGATAATACAAAATTATGTTGCCACAGTGGTGAGACTGTGGGCAGAAGTTACAACTAAAGAATCTTAATTACCTGACCAACTACCTAATACTACACAGGCTGTTGATCCCAGATCTTTCAATAACACTAATAATCTAGTTATGAATAACCAAATTATAGTGATTTTACAAAGAAAGTAATGAAGACTCAAAAATAAAATAAGAACATTCAAGAACAGTTTTGAGCTTCAAAGGTTTTACTTTATAAATAATGAAACGTAAAAGAGACTTTTTTCTCTATCGCACTTTTTACAATAGACCTAATCATCTGTTTATAATAGATGGCTAATACTAAGATAACTATATATTGCTACTTTCTAGCAAATAGTCTAGCTAATAGATAAAGTTTATCTTTTACATGGATAAGCATTATTAACAAGATAAACTATAATTCCAGCTGTTGATTTGTCATCTTCAGCTGTCATTATCAATGTGATGAATTCATCCTTATCTTCATATCTTCATTGCACGCTTGGATGAATACTTAGAAAATCTTCTAAGTGTTTGTCTGTCTAGAGCATCGATGAGAATGCTTCTTTCCATCGCATCGTCCATCGATCCTCTGGTTGAACTTCATCCATCGGTTCTCTGGTTGTTCTTTCCATTGATCCAATGATCTAACTTAGTCCATCGGTTCTCTGGTTGTTCTTTCCATCGATCCAATGGTCTAACTTCGTCTATCGGTTCTCTGGTTGTTCTTTCCATCGATCCTCTGGTTAGTCTGTCCATCGATCTTCTGGTCGAATCCAGACTTGGTCGTTTCTGCCTTTTCTGCCTTGATATCTTCATTGGTCTTCTGGTTCTTCATCACTTGTTTGTTTTTCATTACTTTTTACATTTTGCATTGTGGGGTTTAACAATCTCCCCCTAAGTAATGAAATAACAAAGTCTAATCTATACACATATGAAGAACAGACACTAATCTAGAAGAAAAACATCAACTTCCAAGTTTTCATTGGATGACAGATGGTGGGGTGGTGATGGTTGTGGTTGCGTTGGTGCAGCGGATGTAGATGTATATGCAGCCACCGCCTCTGTCTCCCCCTCACGAGGTCCAAGACCTTGATCATCGGGGTCTTGGTCATCGTGGCGTTGTCATTTGCTTGGGCGGTTGCTCGAGCATGAGGCATGAAACTGCATCAACAAAGGCCTGGAACTTAGCCTTGGTGACCAGATCGACTAAGGGTGTAACCCCTACAGCAACAGATGCTGCAGGTTGTGCCTCTGTTCCTGAGGCGCCTTCTTGGCCTTGTGTGAAGGTAGGTCGCGAAGGACTTCAATCATGTCCTTGATAGTCTTCGATAGAAGAACTATCTCATGATGTTTGGACATCCTCTTCCTCTTCTTCAGCTTCAGAGGCTGAGTAAGTGAATCGGATGTGTGTACCCTTTGGTAGATCAAATACCGAGGGTAGTGGTGCATGAAATGAAGATCGCTCTGAACGATCTAGGGGTTCAACATCAAAAGAAACGAATACGTTTGTGTGTGTGAGAGGTTGTGGCGAGCCCTGAGGCGAAGGGGCTCTTATCTCTTCATCACCTCTCTATTGAGAGAGGGGTGATGGGGTATGAGATTCCTCGTCTTGTTCATCTCCAGAGGCTCGAAAGATGGTCTCTGGATAGCTAGCTTGGGTTTGGATTGGACTGGGTCATCCTGTTTCAATATCCCTTTGGCTTTGATCGCCAGGGATAGTGGATGTGGGTGCCCTTTGGGTAGTAGCTAGGGAAATATGTTGGTGAGGGCCGGGGGAAGCACGATGGTTGTGCTCCCTCGCTTGAAGGGGGGACTGCTCTAAGTGCTCTGGGGTAGCTGCCCTTGGTTCTTGGGACAGCATGGAGCATTCATAGGCTTGGTATATCTCACTTGTCGATGGAATGACAGTGAGCATAGCCCTTGACAGCGGTCTGTTGATGTTGTATCCTTCCTTCGAAAGGGTTAGGCGGTGTCCTTGCATTTTGTAGACCGGGGTTTATGTTTCTGTTGCGGGGATTTATGGAAGACGTTTTAAAAAAATGGATTTTAAAATCTCATCTAATTGTAAGATTAATACTAATTACAAAATTTTGGATGGAACCAGAGGAGTTCTGGTTGGGCATGATATCTTGAGTGAGGAACCAGAGGAGTTCTGGTTGGGCATGATATCTTGAGTGAGGAACCAGAGGAGTTCTGGTTGGGCATGATAACTTGAGTGAGGAACCAGAGGAGTTATAGTTGAAATGTCAATGAAGACAAGTAGTGATGTAGGATTGACATGATATGGAGGCTTTGGTTAACAAACTAAAGGCTTTGGTTAAGTATGTCAATCCATTTTATAAACCAGAGGAGGTATGGTATTATATTCATATGTAGCATTTTAKGGGACCAGAGGCTCTGGATAGTAGAACCAGAGGCTCTGGATGGAAAATGCAAGTTTACAAATGTAAACTTTTGCTCCCCCTCAAAGGATGCATGGAGATATGATGTGAAATGTAAAAACTCCCCCTATAAACAATAAGGAGTTTACATTTTGGATGACCAGAGGCTCTGGTCTATACAACCAGAGGCGCTGGTTGTGAAAGGCGATGAAAACGAATGAAATATGATCTAGTATGAGAATGGATAAGAAAATGAATGAATCTTGAGACCAGAGGGCTCTGGTTGCAAAGGATTTGAAATCCAGAGGTTCTGGTCTTTAGAACCAGAGGCTCTGGTTGTGAAGGATGATAAGATTCAATGAAAAAATGGTTAAGTATGAAAAAGAAAGTCTTTGAGACCAGAGGGGCTCTGGTTGCAAAGACGTTGAATCCAGAGGCTCTGATCTTTAGAACCAGAGGCTCTGGTTGTGAATGATGAAGAAAAATAATATGAAATATGGCTAAGTATGAAGAGCAACGAGTCTTTGAAACCAGAGGGGCTCTGGTTGCAAAGACTTTGAAACCAGAGGCTCTGGTCTTTAGAACCAGAGGCTCTGGTTGTGAAGGATGAGAAAAAATATGAAATATGGTTAAGTATGAAAAGGAATGAGTCTTTGAGACTAGAGGGGCTCTGGTTGCAAAGACTTTGAATCCAGAGGCTATGGTCTTTAGAACTAGAGGCTCTGGTTGTGAAGGATGAGAGAAAGAAAATGAAATATGGTTAAGTATGAAAGGAATGAGTCTTTGAGACCAGAGGGGCTCTGGTTGCAAAGACTTTGAATCCAGAGGCTCTGGTCTTTAGAACCAGAGGCTCTGGTCGTGAAGGATGATTAAATGAAGTATGAAATGAAATGATGAGGACTTTGCTTTCAAAGAAACTAAGGCCAGAGGCTCTGGTCTTTAGAACCAGAGGCTCTGGTTGAGAAAAAGAATGTATAGCAAGCGAAGGAAAGCAGAGGCTCTGGTCTTTGGATCCAGAGGCTCTGGTTGAATGATGATGAAATGGAGTATGAGATGAAATGATTAAGATAAAGCTTGCAAAGAATCTAAAGCCAAAGGCTCTTGTCTTTAGAACTAGAGGCTCTGGTTGTGAGAAAAGAATATAATGCAAGTAGGGTGGAAACCAGAGGCTCTGGTCTTTGG